GAGTGAGTGAATGATAGAAGAAAAAGCGTGAGTGCATATTGTTTTATACCATATTCATTATTCAGTAATTCCTGCTTTATCATGGTAACCAGTGGTAGAAACTAATAGTTTTAGTCTACTAGTCCTTATAATGATAACATATAGCAAATCCCTTAAAAATGGCAAATTTATACTAGTCCTTATGATACCTTAACTATTGGGCAGTTTGGCAAGGACTTCAGGACTAGTGCCAATTTCCCTCACTGGTAACCTTCAAATAGTTGAGTTGGCATGCTAGTGGTTTATTGCAATGGCCCACTCCACTGGGGTTTGATGACACACAATCAGCCAGGTCTCGCACAATAACCACCCTGTCCTCATTCAGATGGAATAGATAGCTCTTACGATAAGCATGGGGGTACTGGGACGTATTCTACTCCTTTGGGGTAGTGGGGATGTATTCTACCCCTTGGGGGTACTGGGGACGTATTCTACCCCTTGGGGGTTACTGGGGACGTATTCTACCCATTGGGGGTACTGGGGACATATCCTACCCCTGGGGGGTACTGGGGATGTATTCTACCCCCTGGGGGTTACTGGGGACGTATTCTACCCCAGAATGCCCATGGGGGATGGAAATCATGAAAATGTGTGAAGCATAGGATGCAGAGAAACTCGAAATCCAGTTGGAGCTCTCAGCAAATAACAGGCAAGGCCTTACCGGTTGTATCAACAAGCTTACATTGTGAGTCAGTATACTTGAACACACATGAAATATCAATATGCTAAACATTTGAATCAACGTATATCCCACACACCTGAAAGTATAATACTATGCTTTTGTTGATTCTCTGTACATACAGCTTCTATAGGATCAGGATTCAGTTAATGCGTCACATTTTACAGCTAGGATTATGTCTTTAGAATTCCTTTCATAAAATATTAGATGATTGACAAGTGACCAACCATGTTCTGTTGATCCCAGCAAAACGTTAAGTTTTGATTCTTTTGCTTAAGGACAAAAATAATCGTGATGGTGATAAGTCATTATTAGAAGTGATGCCTGTAGGTAGTTTAGATAAAGGATGTGGTTTAGTAGCACGCTTAATATGTTCATTATGCTAAAATGTCAACCCTTGTTGCCAGCGATAACGGTTATTAATCACACTGTATAGGGCGTAGAACTTGGGGGAACAGTTTTGCATTCAAATCCGTGTGCTGTTTGCGACCTGAGAGCCCTGCACACAATGAATATTCCCTTTCCTCTCAAGGGGAATAGCATGTTTGCATGTGTTAGGGAGATAGTATTATTCTTGGGAAGTTTATTGTTAATAGGTTTGCTTTGTTTCCATTGGTTAAAACTCCTTTCTATGAAGCGAACTCCATCATGGGTGTGTTATGAGGGAACTGCAGACTCCCACATGCTGGAGCTAGCCTGAAATGTTGAGACGAAGCAGTGTTCGAAATTAAGGGGGGGTCCTTAGATTTCGGGGGTCCTAAGACTCCAATACTGTAGGAGCAAACCTTAAGGGCTTCGTTTCACTTAGTTATCTTTTGGCAGCCGTTTTCGCCGTTTCCGATCTTACGACAGTTTCAGTTATAGGATTATAGTCGCTTTTATTTTAATGGTTCTGCTTCCTTAGTGTTGGGGGTCGGTCAGGTAGCCTGGTGGTTGAACTGTTCAGTCGTCATGCCGAAGACCCGAGTTCGATTCCCCACATGGATACATTGTGTGACGCCCCTTTCTGGTGTCCCCCGCTGTGATGTTGCTGGAATATTGCTAAAAGCAGCGTACAACCACTCACTCCTTAGTGTTGGACTTTTGGGAACAACTAAATCTAACTTTAACATTAGGGTTATGACATGGACCTCTTGACTTTCTTCCTCAATTTGGCTGCTGCAAAAGTGGCAGTTTGTATGAAATTAACATGTTTCCTGGTATTTACTGCTGAATATGGTGAAATTGGCCTCATATTTACATAAATATACGCAATCTTAAGCTTTCGACCTCCCAGCCTTCATCCGGTACACTCTTTTAGTGTGGCTTACATTGCTAGATTATGTAATATTTGTTCAACCACTGCTGTAACGGAATTAAGCTATGATAATGTGAGTAATGACATCATTCTAAATTGAAGATGAACTTCATGTTATAAACCAAACAATTGTCCTCTTTATGCAAGTCAGTGGGAAATGTATATCCCAAAGACAGTTAATCATCATTATTTTTGTTTAGAAACTCTGTCAATTATCCAGAAAGGATACGATGATAAATTTTGCAAAATTTCTAATGTATGTGTTCTCAACACAAAAAAGTATCAATTAGGGAACTCAGATAAATATGATGTAAATGTATTTTGTACAATGGGTCAAATGGCCTTTATACAAATAAATCTGTCTTTCTGTCTGTCCGTCCGTCCGTCTGTCCATCATTCTAAACCAAAAGAGTGTTCCCGTTGAAGGCCGGGAGGCCAAAAGGTTGAGATTACTTATATTTATGTATTTATTTCAGTTCCCCTATGGGAATGACCACAAAGGACGATTTGCATATTTACAGCTTGTATAGACCTTCTTCATCAGTATCAGACGTAGTCTGATTGGGTTGGTTCAAATTACAATTATCGTATGGTCTGTAACAGTGGTCTGGGAATAGACACCAAACCTTCTGCTAGTCTTCAACAGAATACTTTATGTAAACCTCCGGTCATCCTTTCAACAGTAACAGTATGCATATCGTGTTACAGTTATGTGTATCAACAAAACACAGATTTGGTTTCCAATTGTGTGGAGAAGCATAGGACATATGATTTGGCATTGAGATTATTATGTCTGGCTTCATGCACAGATTCACCCCAGAGGTCAATCATGGTCTTTCAGTTTGTATTGTTTCATGAGTCTCGTGGTAGATATGTTAGGATGCAGAGGTATACTGGTATAAGATGTTTTCAGGGTATTTACAGGAAGTGAATATGCTTAACAAACATTTAAAACCAAACATAACAAAATACAAACAGAAGTGTTTTCCAGATGTGTCTAACATCAGTACAACACAGCATTAGGTTTTAGTATTTTTTGTTGTATTTTTATGAAATTAGGGCCCAACTCACCCATAAAATATGAAACAAAATAGCTCTGACTTGGAAGGTGAAAAAAGATACTTCCATAACCTTTTATGAAAGGATAGTCCTGCACCATGACTGTGGAACATATTTTTTTTATGAAAAACAAAACAACTAGATATGTATACAACAGCAAGTCTAGCCAGCGCCAGGTTAAATCAGCATCTGGGAAAATTATTGATTTAAATTTAGAGTGGAGAAGGTTACACTAAATGTTCGTCTAATAAGAGGACTGTGAGTCTTCTTTTGCCTTTATTTGCCATTATTTTGGTTGACTGTAGTGTGCATCAATCTATATGTCAGAAACATGAGCCTGGGCCTTAGACCTGGATTTGTTACATGCCGCCATCTGGGAATAGACAACTGGATGCTGCACTGTGTATGTGGTGCTTTCTCTGTGACAAAGTGGACCATTAGGATGTGTCAGTTATACCATTATTGCATTTAACTTTTATTGTCGAGATAATTGCAAGACGTCAATAGCTCATTTCTCCTGGGTTTTACCATCAATGTCATTTTGAACAGCTCAGCATTTTGAGTGAGTGATTGAGTATGGGTTTACACCACTTTTAGCAATATTCCAGCAATATCACAGTGGGGGACACCAGAAATGGGCTTCACAGATTGTACCCATGTGGGGAATCGAACCGTGGTCTTCGGGGTGACAAGTGAAAGCTTTAACCATTGGGCTACCTGACCGCCCCTCAGCAATTTGAGCTAATAGCTAGTTCATATGGACTATCTGTTGGTCCCCCCCCTGTCCACACTGTTAGGTAATATATATAAATATATATATAATGTGTATTCTAATGTGTAGAATGTGTTGGAGCTGAAGTTGCTTAAGAAGAAAATATGAAAAACATAACAAAAAAACTTCAAAACAGTGTTGTTCAAGCAGGAGCTTCAAGCATGAAAGTTTAAAACAAGTCGCTGTTAGGAAAATGTAATTATAAGGCTTCGATCGTCTAGCTGAGCAAACTCATCAACTTGTTTCTCTCTCAAGAAATCCACAAAGCTTCATGATTGTGTGTCATGTACTTAGGTATGATTGTCAGCAATGAGGTACCCATTGTCAAGGGGGACTGTTGTTTGTGACCTTTTAAGAATGTTATTTAATTTTGTAAATGCAATTATATAAATTGCTTGGTTTTGTTGTCTGGTAGCTGTTAATAAATAGATGCTTAAAGCTGGAATAGTGAAGTAGACAAAAAACCTTCTTTATTATTCTGTTATAGCGCATTTCGGTTTCGGATCCTTATGCCGTTGTCAAGAAAGGGCCTATACTGAAATGTTGCCATTTGTCTTTTGTCAACTTCTAAGAAAAGCCTATCAAACAATTTCTAAAAATAAACTCAGTTTATTTTTTTTATGTTAATTCAGTCACTATGTTTTGATAGGTGAGAAAAGTATTGTGATTATGATTAACTGAATTGAACTAAAAGGACTTTTGTTTGTGCAAAATCCCAGAACTATATTCATTTCAGAGGCTTTTGTAGTTGAGATCCAGTGAATGAATAAATCTACAAAGCTGTTTTTTCAGATGGAATTTATTACACAGGAAACTGGACTAAATAGCTCCAGTATTCTTACAGGTCTTCAATTCAAGTTTGCTGAGGCATTAAATCCCCTGCTTCTTACTGCCCGCTAGTACTCCTCACAGCCCCTATAATAACAATATAATGCTTCTTAGCAAAACAGCTTGAATACCCCAGGCTAATGCGTACGTTTTATAATTGCATATTTCAGATTTGATTGGCTGTCATAATTAGCAGAATCGTACAAGATCTGATGAATCATATTCCCTCCCCACCCCTAGTTATGTTCAACAGCTTGTAGCGATGCTGTCATCACGCCATGCGACCTCTGTACAGTGGAGTCGCTGATGCATGAGACAGTGTTGTCAACTCGTGATCCAATATACTGCGAAAGTTTCTGTCTCACTCTCTCATCGCGCTCGCTGTGGCTTGGTTGTTGTGGTGGAGGATCGGAAAGTGAGGCCTGATCGACACTGATTCAATGCCCTCTCTGTGAGCACACCTACCTCAACAAGCTGAAGCAGTCGAATTTAATTGCATGTAATTCCTGTTAACATCCAAATCTGCAACTTGACGGGTAGCTATTGATTTCCGTGGACTCCAGCGTGTTACTGCGGCACAGAGTAGTGGTCCTTACTTGGATAACCACTGTCATATTTGTGAGAGTCGGAGAGACCGCCCGCTTCATTAATTATTCAGGCCATTACCTTATCGCGGACTCCAGTATTCCTCTGGTCTGATCTGGCACTGTCCCCTGCGAGGTCCAGTTCGGCATTACTCTCTCTTGTCATAGCCCTTATGGACAATTGGATTTCATAGCAGATGTCGACATGTGGATAACATTCATCTGAGATATAGTTTGGGATGTACTGTTCTGTAGCTAGTTAGTGCATGTGTTTGTGTGTTTTTGTGCATTCCTAGGAGGGATTATTTATCCTATCTTCCAAATTGTGCAATGGGGAACAAATTACGCAAGCTGAAGAATGAGTTGGTGGGAGGGGATGAGCCGGAAGCAGACGGCAACAACTTCAGGCCGAGTTCGGAGACCTCTGGTGCTTCACCTGCTGCCTCGGGGACCACTGGGACAGCGGAGAATAAAAGTGAAGCTCCTGAAAATGCTATCTCTGAAACTAAATCTTCAACAGTTGTTGAGCCTGTTGACACATCCTCAGAAAAACCTTCACCAACTCCCGCACCAACTCCCGCACCAACTGCAACACCAACTACGACATCAACAACAACTCCTGCCCCAACTCCCGCACCAACTCAAACTGTTAATGAAACTGTCGAGAGTCCAGGACATGTGCAGGCTAAAGTGTCAGCCCAGGATCCAAAGGTATCAATTTTCTCTTAACACTTTTCTACTTTCTGACAAATGTATTAGGTTGGGGAGCAATATTATTGAGAGCTATGTCAGTTGAGATTGCCAGCGCCAGCTTTGAAGGGCTTAACCACTTTATGGAAGGATCAGCCTTCAACTGATAGGGTCCCTACTGGATGTTCATGGGTTGGGGTGGGGGAGTGGGGGGTGGAGAGAACCAACAGGCAGCAGACTCATGCTCACATCTGCACTGCTCTGCTCACCTGAGAGGGGGAATTGTGAACATTCTCACTCCTTGCTTCCAAACAATCCGCTCGCTCGGCCCACAGGCTTACCAAAGACCCTTTTGTCAAAACCATGCCATCCGCAGACTTAGTAAATATTGTGGTATTAGCTTGGGGGCGGCTTCCCTTTTGATTTAGGACAGAGAAGTATGCCTGCAGTTGGAGGAGTATCTAAGTGACAGATGTGGAGAATATGTGGCCTCTGACACCGTTATACTAGCATGAGCAGGGAGTCATACCCACTGACTTCAAGCGTATGGTAGGTACTGCATGAATACAACTGCCTCCGCAAGCAGTAAACAGCGGCTCATGCTTTACATAATGTTGAATACTATTTCCCTGTGACTGTTTTGATATTTGATATCAGCGTGTCAGATTTGTCCAGCATTGTGTGCAGCTCACTGCATGTAATTTGTGGCGAGGTCGGGTCAATATGCATGCTATTAATTGATCTGAGGGCTTGCGGCAGGTGAATCCAGGCTTCAGTTTAATGTTGTTCTCCGACACAGATGATACATCATAACATCCAAACTGACATGTTTTTACCGGCTGACCTTGGTAGGGGTTCACCATGTCAAGGTGAAGTAGTTACCTTGGTCATGCTTGATGTCACCCCTGAGTGATGCCTTTTTGGGTGCCGGCAGGTTAGCAATGTTCTGTCACAGTTGTTATGGATGAGTTGTGAAACTGTTAGATGTTGGGATTGGGTAGCTTTTGCTGAGGTATCATGCTTGTCAAAATCCGTGATCTGTGAGATAGCTAGGCTATCTTTTGCCATGGTTGAATGATTAAAGTAAAACTGTTTGTGGCAGGATTTGATTTTTTTCAGATGGTTCAATCGAACCTTTCATGAAAACCACTTTGTGTTTGTTATCCATTTTAATTAAAAGTTAAAATGAGTGCATTTTTTGTAATATATCACCATTGGGAAATTAAAAAAAAAGTGAAAAGGAATGACAAAATCTATTGCATATAAACATGATAAAGACAATCGTGGTGTTGATGTTATCATTGCTCCTGCTTAAAATCAACTTGTTTTCAATGCTTTTAAGTCCAATGCCGAGATTATCACATTTTAGTCAGGACATCAACATGGTCGTCGACACTTTTGGAATTTATTCAATGCCTCCATGAATTATAGATTGTTGTTCATCACACTAGATAGACGCATCACACTAAGTAAACAGTGGAGTCGGGAAAGTCTTTGATGTGACACGGAACCCATGATTGTTGTGTTCCACACACACTTCCAAACCCCATCACTATATTGCTGTTTGTTATCTTAGCCGTAGACTCACCAGGTATGGTGTTTGACGATAATGGTGAGAGGATTTAGCCTGTTAACTAATGATGTAGTAAATGGGACTGTACTCTCATGTAGCAATGTTTCAACAACTTGGCACCTACTCGCGGTGTGTGAAATTATCTTTGGAGCTGTAATGGATATAGGTATGACAAAATTAATTAACTTATGTATGTGATGATAAGCTAATTCAGACCTGAGAGGTGAGCTGTCATGATGAACCGTTTGAAGAATGGTCTGCACTTAGATATTTTTGACCATGAAGCACCATTTTAGTTAGCAATAACAATGAGTTAACATACAGAGGTGGACTGTTGGCTAAACTAATTTATGATCATATTATCTGAGAGAGTAACCGTTGTGTATACTTTATACTAGCAGAAAAAAACTAATCGTCATACAAATTCCCCAGCTGAAAATCCAAACAATACTTTTGATGATGTGGACTATACGGCAGAAAGATCTATGGCACCTGTGTATGCAGAAATCAGCTGTCTAAATAGTTGTGGTTCCTCTGAGGCATGTTTGGGAAAACTGAAGAAAAGGAAGTCTCACACCTGATTCATCTTTCAAGATTTTGTATAATATTTATGGGAATTGCAAATAACCTGAAAATTTGTTAATAGATGTGTACAGAATGCCAACAGTACTATGTTGCATGTGAAAATTTGAATCAGTTAAATTTAATTTTTGGAAAAATGTAATTTCTATGAAAGCTAATGAGGCTAATGAGGCCAGTCTTCAGCACAATTAGCTGTTGAAGTATTTCAAGAAGCAAGAGTAGGTTCTGAGATGAGCATGCTAATTGTTTCTGAAATGCCAGTTTGTTGTTCATCTTGTTTCCATGTTCATCATTCACCAGTTTCATTCAACAACAAAATAAATTGTATAATTTATTTTTCAATGAATATTTTACTGAGGAGCGAAATATAAAAAAAATGGTGGAAATGTAGTGTCCAACATTCAGCCCCCTGTTTTCCTTTGCCTCCGTATGAATACATGTATATTTGCTGCTGTTGCAGTGTTCTGTGTGTTAGCTAAACGTAGACGTTATGTTTCGTATAATTACATTTCCATGGAGGAACCTAAACACCATTGATGTCCAGACGGACAACAGGGCCTGTGCACCCGATGGACAAACACAACATGTAAATGTTTGATTTGGCGCTTGTATAAAAAGTTTGGATTTCTTAGGTGTAGTGGCAGATCTGTCTTGAAACCAAACCATAGTAATGTAAAAGGCAAAGATACAAATACACACAATATTTGTCTTTGACTGGAAGGTGGATGCAACGTCTGCGGTTGTACATATGCTGTGTAATTGTCAGATCTGTGTCAGGTGGGTTTAAGGGCCTCACTGTGTAAACAGTCAGTACACAAGTCTGGGGACACTGGTTGTAATGATTCCTTTATCAAACATGGCCTGAGATCATTTTATGTTTTTTTTTCTACTCAAAACCAAGCAATTGAATTATCGTAAGCATTGTATTGATCAAGCAGACAGATGGTGGTTGTTGTGGAAATGTATTTTCCTGTGAGGAAAACAGATTGTAATAGTGCACTTGTTGTGAATGTTATCATCTTCTGTGGTTGTGTTTCAGCCGCATTTATTTAAAGATTATTGTAGTCATTGACTCCCTGCCCAAATACTTTTGTCCCATGAAGATCCGGGTTAGAATTAGTTGTCAGCAACCCATGCTTGTTGTCAGAATCAACTGTCGTGATAGTTAGGCTCCCTCCTGGTCGATGCATGTCATCGTTTCCCAATACCATGGATTGATGCGAATGATTTCAATCACTCGTTTGTCTGGTCCAGACTAAATTATTACACACCGCCGTCATATAGCGGCATCAAACAGTCAACCAAATCCTTTTTGTGAAAGTTGACCATATTTTGGATGATTATGAAATAAAAAATATAACAAGGTGTGGTAGACTGTCGCCTAGTTCTCCATAAGGGCAAGGTCAATGGTTTTCTTGTCAGATAATGACAATTTATGAAGAACATTTAGTGTGACTAACCTTTGCTAATAGGAACTCAATTACTCCAGAATGCTGATGTGTATATCTGCTGACATATGTTCATCAGTGAATTAGGTTGATTAAAGCATTTGACAAAAAACAAGAAATGTCTCACAAGTAATATTATGTATACTGAACAAAATAAGTTCGGGATCATGAATGTTTTTTGATATCCCTCAAAATATTCATGGTCCCTAACTCTTTTGTTCAGTATGTATCGAGATATGTTTTGCGAATCAATGCTATTCCAACTTCATTACAGCAGTACACACAGTAAATAATCAAATCTTGGACAGACAAGACTGTGGTTGATAGCGTGAACAACAATCTAGGTATCTTTCAGACTAGTAGAACGTTCTTGTTTCCATCAGTTTGCCAGTGTTTTATCATGATTGCTGGGGGTAGATGGGGCCAGGTCGTCCACAGTGACACAGTTCACTCCATAGACTTGTTTTCCATGGACATGCTGGACACTACGATCGTGGGTTGAAATCTGTGGTAGCCCTGATTATGTTTCTTGGTTTCTTGGTTTTATGTATCATCACCATACCTGCTGTCATGGGTTACACCAAAGCCGTAAATGTCTAATAGTTGCGTCATTTTGGGCTTTACTCTTACATTAGGCTGACACAGCAAGATATGACTGTTCAAAGTGATCTTCAACCAAACTCACTCAATCATTATTTGTGTGGGGCCGGTGGGGTAGCCTTGTGGTTAAAGCGTTTGCTCATCATGCCAAAGGTCCGAGTTCGATTCCCCATATGGGTACAATTTCAATCTCATTAAAATCAGATCTTAGTTCTCGTTATTGCTAAACAAAGATCTGAGGACATCCCATTACGGGTCACGTCAAAACGACCTTTCACGAATTTTAACCGACCAATGAAAAGACTGACAAGAAATCGACATTGGCCAATCAGAAGGCAGCTTGCTCGAGCTTTACGACACTAGTTTCAAACTGGCGACTACGCTTCGAAGCATATTTTGACGTATTCTCGATTAAAATTTTTGAAACAGATAAGAAGAACATTCAGGAATGGCTTATAGATCATGTAGATGGCAAATATATATGGATATAATCATAAAACCTGTAACTGTCGTTCGGAATACCCTGTGTTAAATATATTGTGGTTGCATGATTAGAAAGCACATTCCGACTGTCACTTTCATGATCTGGTAAGCGATGCTCTGATTGGTTGGATGAAAGGTCGTTCTGACGTGACCCCTAATGGGATGTCCTCAGATCTTTGTTTCGCGATAGCGAGAACTAAGATATGATTTTAATGAGATTAGGTACAATTTATGAAGCCCATTGCTGGTGTCCTCCGTCGTGTTATTGCTGGAATATTGCTGATAGTGGCGTAAAACCATATTTGTGTCTGCCTGTTGCATGTTACCAACATGTG